ATTTGCTTAACTCTTCTTTCATGAATGAAAATGACATTTAATGTTATGTTTGATGAAAAGCCAAAGTTAAGAATATATTCCCATTTTGACGTTATTCATTTGGGAAACGTGCTCCCTTTTTTATATGTAATGAACATACAACTATGGAGTAAAATACAATTAACAAAGAACTTGAACTTTCAGTATCTTCCGTAACTATTGGAACAAATACAATTTCAAATGCTATAACTATTCATTTCCTAGTCAATTCATTAGCAAATATATTTAATCCAAAATTACAGGGAATTTTTCCCTGGCTAGTTATATATATATACAAAATCTGATCAAGACAATTAAAACAACAGGGACAAATGGTGCTTGATTTTTTTTTTCATTCTGGTTATTTCTGGGACAGGAAAATACTGGCTTTTAAATTAACATCAGAAATAGTGAGTTTATATCACTTAGTTCTCAACTTTTACATACAATTTACTGCAAGTGTAAATAGGAATGCTTTCAAACTGGAAAATAATTTTGCTGCCTAATTCAGACAATAACTATGGCAAAGTATGAATGCACACATATTGTGTTTGCTCAGCTCAGGTCGAGGTTATTATATTGCCCGAAGGTTTTTGTTTCCCTCTCCACACATCGTGACAGAATGCTGACTTAGCAATATTATAAATTTATTACTGTGATTATTTTAAACCACATTTATGATAAGAAGCCTGTAGCATTTACTTATATTAAAAGATTAGTGAAGGCTTGGGGAATTAATTTTTGGATTTTCTTAGTCCTTTACTAAATAACGAGGTGGGAAAGTGATTATGTGTGGGTGTATTTGTGGAGTGTGTGTGTGTGTACAGCAGAAATGTAAGGGGGGAGCCCTAGAAGGATAAGGGAGAGCTTAAAGATGGTAATTCTCTTTCCTGTGTGTGTATCATCTAACCACCTCCATTTTCTAAATTGTCCATGGAGGAATCTCCTTGTTCACTAGCTTGGTTTGACTATTTGATATTTCAGATTTCTTGACGTACATCAGGATGGAGCTGACCATCATTGCTGAGGAGGTAATCTCTATCTTAATTCTGAGATATAAAAACAAAGTTTAAAAAAAAATAAGGTAGCCTTCCATTTGCCTTTTTTTTTTTTTTTTTTTTTTTTTGGTGTTTTCTCTCCACCTTTCTCATAAGAAAAAACACTGGAAAAAAGCAAATGCCACATTATGTTGAGTAATACTAAACACTAAACTGAAGGTAATATTTTCCCCTAGATTTTCAGATAAATGAGTGAAAGGTGATGAGTAGTTTTACTTTGAGAATAATTCACGGTGGAAAATCAACTATTAGAATACAGTTTTCATGTTATAGACTATTTCTGAATTCTTAACCTCCCCCATCCCAATACACATGGCAATGCTAATTTTTTAGAATAGAAATAAAGCCACCTGTGGTTTTTTTGTCTACCATTATTTCACATTACATTGTATTGTTTCATTTTCACTGTTCTTATTTAAAGGATCCTTTGATTAACCTGTTTCAGAAGTGGGAATTTATTTTTTTAATTTTTATTTTTTTAGAAGTGGGATTTTAATGTCGTGGCTGGACCTGGGAGTCTGAATCCTTTAGCCAGAATGTATCACTGGAGGGAAAATATTGTATTAAATTGTCTGGGGTGTAATCTGAACAACTGAGTAAGAATGTTTCCTTTACTGTGCCCATAATTATTTTTTATCTTGCTCGATTAAAAAAAAAAGGATAGCCTTCAGTCATAAGAAAGGAGCAAGATTTCGTTACCATATACACACATTTCCTCTTCGTGCACACACTTGCTAAGCACACGCACAGATGATAATTCATGCACAGTTGCAAGTACCCTTCCCAAAGTGTAACAGATTATAAACTAACGTTAAATAGCGGAAACTCACACAACTTGTGTACTTTTTTTTCCACACCCAACAACGACACAGCTTCTTGCTCCTTCGGTCCTCAGGCTCATCTATTCATAATGGAGCTTTTTAAGGGACACTTGGCCTCTTGCAAAAAAGTCGAGCATTTTGCACATTCCACGGTTTGGCAAACTCGGAACTGGTTATTTTCTCTAGACCGGTATCAAGTTCTTCTCAGGCATATGATTTCACTTGAAGTCCTGCCCAGGAATCCTTCAAAGTGAGCGTTTGTCCCGCTCTCATGATGTCAGGCGGTTTTCCCTGCATCTGTAATTTGAAGAAAAACATACAAACCTGCGGGGAACAAACGCCACGGAAACCCAAACAGAACTCGGTGGGTAGCGGGACTCTCACCTGCGGCGGGCACGGGAGGGGATGCGGGCCCAGACTCCCCTGCGTGGGTGGCGGCCAGGCCCGCACCGCGGGGACAGCGACCGTGTCTGTGCCCTCCTCGGACTGCGTGCACCGCCCGGGGCCCCGCGTCTGGCCGCAGCGCAAAGGCGGCGGCTCCAAGTGTCAGCACTAGGGAGGAGAGCCGCAGCAACAGATTCAGGCAAAGGCCCAACCTCAAATTTCCAGAGACAGGCCCGCATTAGCGACACACGGGGGTCGGGAGGGGGATCCCCGGGGGCCACTTTTCCAGAATTTTCTGCCTGTGTGTCGTAAAGCTTGCCCCACCCCCAGCACCAGCGAAAGTGGAAGGAGAAATCGGTTTCCTCGTAATTTCTCAAAGCCGGCAATCCCACTATTTCCCTGAAACCTCGAAACCCAGCCCTTGAAAATGCAAAAAGATTTATTAATTATCCTTACTAACTGAACGGCCAAAGACAGACCCAGTAAATAGGCCTTGGGATACACTTTCCGTTCGCTTTTGTCCCAAGGCCCCAGAACGTGAGCCCACTTAATGTTCTCAGCAAATCAAAGCACGTGTCCTTTGAAGAAGGTGTGTAATTGGAGTTTAAGGCATGTATGGAATTCCCAGATGTCTATAAAGTAAGAAGGAGCATGTGGCAGGTCACTGGAAGGTGGGGCAGGTTAAAATCACTGGCACAAAATTTCCCCCTTTTATAGTCTCCTTTATAAGGGCCAAGGAGATAAGCCTCGGGGAAAGGATGAATATCCCGCTTCTCCTATCAGAGTCATGGTAACCATGGTAAAAAGCACATGGTCAGAAAACCTCAAAGAAAACACTCAATTACAGCTGGGATTTCGTGGGCGCCCTGCAATGAGATCGTTTGGGGTTTGCTACAGCGAAGGCCTCGAACGGCCGTCTTGCTTGTTTACGTGGACTATTTTCTTTTCCTTCTATTTTTTTTCCCCCTCCAAAGTTTGTGGATGTGTCTTCAGCGTGCGATGCAGGCTGAAGCCAGTGGAACAAAATTCCAGATTAGGAAAAGAAAAAAAGTTCATCCCAGAAGGCAGCCTTCTTGGGGGAGGGGAAATGGCAAGCGAGTGAAATTAGATTTCTGTAAAACATGCAGTTTAAACATCTAGTAGATAGAGCGAATGCTCAGTGAAAAGACAACCGTCGACATGAGCTGCTCTGTTTTCTAATTTCACTGAGGAATATAGAGAAGTGTACGAGACTGTCGGATCTAAGTGCGAGTTTGAGTGTAGCTTATTAGGTAGTTGTTTTGTTTTGTTTTGTTTTTGGTCCGAAGCCGGAATCGAACAAAATACGACTTTTCTCCGTCGGATTCAACATGGTGCCCTCCTTGATTTGCAGAGTGGAGCCAGAGGCGGGAGACGTAAGGATGTGGATCTGCCAAAGAAACAGGCCCTGGCAGAGGTTGGCTCTGGGAGGGGGGCGAGGTGGGGTCACCTGGGGCGGAAAGCCAGAGCATGGGGTTATGGAACAAAGCGCGCCCCAGACCCAGCCACTGCGGCAGGCGGGAGGGGGAAAGGGACGCGCCAGGGGGTGACGCGAGTATGACAAGTGAAAAGTTAAGCAGGTACCTGAAGGAAGTTTATCTTGCCCAAATGTTAGGGCTTTTATGAAATGTCACGTGAAGAGAACAGATGTACAACTTGCAAATGGGGCCACGCCTGTAAATACGAGGGAGGCAAAAACTCAGAGGGAAATCCAGGCATAAATCACCAACCTCCTTTTCTAGCTATCTATTTCTCCTTTAAATATTTGCTTCCGGAAAAGGAAGGCACATCTTAAATTGTTAAGCGCCTCTTTCAGGAGAAATCACAATCTCATCCCTTGCCCAGCACCCGGGTCCCCTAGGTGCCTTGGGTGCTGAGGGTGGGGGTGAAGGGCAAATTTCTCCCTCCTACTTTTCCTTCTTCGCATTCCCCATCCCCCACCTTTCCCTCTTGGCTTCTCAAAGATGTTTGATCCAGAGAAACGTATCGGATCTCGGTTTGGAAAAGCTGAAACTAATCAATGGCCTTTTGAAGGGGTAGAGAGTGATAAGAAGAGCGAAGGAATGCCAGGCCTGACAGACCCTAAACTTGCAAGATGCTCGGATGGGCTGAAAGATGAGCGGTGATCCCACCCATCTGGGGCGGGGACCCAGCGCTCCAGGGATCCCAGCTGCCCGTGGGGTAGGGTTT